ATGTGAATATGACTGAAAAATTTCATTTTTTCTGAAAAGGTGGTGTCTATTTACTTGTGACCACACTGTGTATTGTTTTTCTCCACTAAAAAGTCCAATGCAAAGGTAGAAATAAATATTGTTAAAGAGATAAGCAAGCTTTTAAATTGTGTCTTGAGAACTTTAAATTTTAGATACTGTATAGGCAATCTTAAAGGAAAGTGAGCAAAAAAATACATATGATCATGGAAATTCATATACATGCATCAAACCCATGCAGGATATACAAAAGCACTATACTTGCAGTGATTTTCAGCATAACTGTCCATAATAGTTACTTTCCAATACCGTACATTACCTCTTCTCACATAAATAGTTATTCTTGTTCAATTCTGCCCTTTATATGCAAAATTTTTTTTCGCATGCCACAAGACTTGAGCTCCCACATACCCCAAGATCAACGTGGTTAAACTGCATCTCACATGATTTTTAGGTGGGAGTTAGCTCAAGGCTAGTGGCATGCAAGTCTCCCAGGCAGACACATGAGGGATCTTGCTATTCTGTTGAAAATGTGTTTTCAGACAAGGAAAATGTTAACTCTACTACATTATAACATTTTAGTGTAAAACTTCCTTTATACTTAAAAAAATAATGCTTCAGTTTACATTTTCCCCATCACTATATATATTACATAAAAATTAAAAGTACCTCCTACAACTTTTGAATACTGTCACATTTAAAGTTTCTTGGACATATTTCAGATGAAGAAGCTACAAGTTTGAAAATGTTGCTCCCAGAGTATTATGTGCCAGTATTGACACATAAAGACGATATGACAACTTTTTGAAGGGAGACAAGAAAGTGCAAATGTGTACAAACACCATTACAGTTAATAATTTAAGTTGTCAGGTATTATAGACCACCGCTCTTGGTATTTCTATTCTTGTCTGTGAAATAAAACTTATATACAGATAACTTGCATCAAAATTCTAAGGTAGGAATGCAGCATAAGAGAGCCTACAGTAGCATCATCTAAATAATGCATATTTGCAAGAACAAGCTTGGGAAGATTATTTTCTTATCAAAAAGAACTCTTAGGAAGATGCTTTACAATGCATTATATTTCTTTTCCTTCTTGGAATGAAAAGCTCAAGTTTTCTTAGCATGCTAAACATCATAAACTACATGTAAAGGATATTTAAAACTTAAATATGGTAATGACCTTTTTATTGCAGAAGTACATTAGACAGAGCCTGGCATGGCCTGGTGGTTAGGACATTTGATGTGCAATTTGAAGGTTGCTAGTGTGATTCACATTTTCAATCATGCTCACCCTGTCAGCCATAGGAGTGTTATAATGTGACTGTATATCCCACCCCACTGTTT